GGGTCAGGGCGTGGGATGGAGGGGGCCCGTGTTGGGTCAGGGCGTGGGATGGAGAGGGGCCCATGTGGGGTCAGGGCGTGGGATGGAGAAGGGTCCATGTGGGGTCAGGGCATGGGATGGAGAAGGGTCCATTTGGGGTCAGGGCGTGGGATGGAGAAGGGCCCCGTGTCGGGTCGGGGTGTGGGATGGAGAAGGGCCCATGTAGGGTCAGGGCATGGGATGGAGAAGGGTCCATTTGGGGTCAGGGCGTGGGATGGAGAAGGGCCCCGTGTCGGGTCGGGGTGTGGGATGGAGAAGGGCCCATGTAGGGTCAGGGCATGGGATGGAGAAGGGTCCATTTGGGGTCAGGGCGTGGGATGGAGAAGGGCCCCGTGTTGGGTCGGGGTGTGGGATGGAGAAGGGCCCATGTGGGGTCAGGGCATGGGATGGAGAAGGGCCCATGTAGGGTTAGGGCGTGGGATGGAGAGGGGCCCGTGTGGGGTTAGGGCGTGGAATGGAGAAGGCCCCGTGTGGGGTCAGGGCGTGGGGTGGAGATGGGCCCATTTGGGGTCGGCGTGGAATGGAGGGGCCCTGCATTCACTTGGTTCCCTTTGCGCTGCATTGTAGGGCTCCGTTACCCTGGGATTGGCGTCCTGCCCGGTGTGCCCACGGGGACGGGAGTCAAGGCAAAAGGCCCAGGTATGTCGCCCTGCCCAGCGGGCTGCCCTGGCTCCTGTCTGGCAGGGAAGGGTGGGGGTCTGCATCCTGCCAAGAGTGCTCAGGGTGGAAGAGGGCCCGTTTCCCTGGGGTTGGTCACATGGTGCAGGGGGACCTGGGGCGCTGAAAGCCTACGCGAATGGGACCAGGCCTGTATCCACTCTCTGGCCTGTGTGGACCAACATGGAGCCAACAGGGCAGGGCAGCCCACTGTGGCCTGGCTCTGCCCCATGTGGCCTGTCTCAGGCCTGTATGGCCTGGCTCTGCCCTGCCCCTTATGGCCTGTCAGAGGCCCACATGGCCTGGCTCTGCCCCACATGGCCTAGCTCTACCTCGCCCCATATGGCCTGTCTCGGGCCTGTGTGGCTTGCCTCCACCCCACATGGCCCTGCTCTGCCCCGTATGGCCTGGCTCTGCCCCACATGGCCTGGCTCTGCCTCGAATGGCCTGGCTCTGCCTCGCCCCATATGCCCTGTCTCGGGCCTGTGTGGCATGTCTCAGGCCCATATGACATGTCTGTGCCCTATAAGGCCTGGCTCTGCCCTGCCCTGTATGGCCTGTGTCAGGCCCGTATGGCCTGGCTCTTCCCTTGTTAGGCTGTTTTTCTCTTTCCCAGGAGGAGCAGGAGGCCTTGCGGGAATTCCTGGTGAGTGCCCGTTTCCCTGCCTGTGGCACTCTCAGGTGCAGGGTCCAGATACCCCAGGGGTGTCTCCCCACCCAGCTCTGCCCACACGTGGGATCTGGACCCCCACGTGGCCCTGTGCCCAGCGGGGGGTGCAGAGCAGGTGCTGCCAGAAGCATGGGGCCTGAGAGCTTCTGCTCTTGTCTTTCAGGCTTCGGAGGATTTGGGGGCCAGCAGCCCGGCGTCCCTCTGGGGTACCCTATCAAAGCCCCCAAGCTCCCAGGTAAGCAGCCCAGCTGGGTGTGCGGGGGAGGGGCCTTCCCGCCTTGCTGTGCTGGTGCTGTGCTGAGCCCTGTCTCTCCCGCTGTCCTAAGCCCCAGGGCTGCCCCCAGCGCTGGCCACGGCACGGGGGGCAGGAAAGAGCCCGGCAAGGGGGAGACAGCACTGAGCTCGGCCAGAGAGGGAGGGCAAGGGGGGCACGGAGGGGCAGCTCTTCCTGTGGGTCTCCCGGGCCTGTTCTTTGTATTAGTGCAGCTCCTGGTGCAGAGCCCTGCGGGCCTCGGTGCTGCCCAAGCATGTTCGCACCCCAGAGCCTGCGCTCCCCCCGCGGGGGGTGCTGGCAACACGCCACCCTGCCGGTGGTGCACGCGCACCAGAGGGGCCCTGCAGGGCAGTGCTGGCTGACCGCAGGGCAGTTCCAATGTGCGCTTAGAGGGGGCGTAGTCCTCTCGCCAGGCCCGGCGCTCCAGTGGCCTGATGCAGTTCTAGGCAGCAGGCGGTTCCCATGCGAGGCCCCTGAATTCACAGCAGCACCTAGCCAGGGACCTAGCCTCCCGGTCTGGCTTCCAGGGTGGGGGGCTGATCCTTGTGCCTGCCAGCCATGGAGAAGACGGTGGTGTGGGCAAGGGCATGCAGGGGGTCTGCCTGTAAGGGTACAGAGGGGATGGGGGCGAGGGGATGGGAGGAAGGCGGTGAGGGGACGGGGGAATGGGGGCGTGTTTCCGTGAGAGCACTGGGAAGACAAACACGGTGTAATTCAGTTAAGAGGGAAGGGAAGGCAAACTCCTCATCATAGTTTTTAGAAAGGAAAAC